TACTTTCCGATATATCGAACCGTACCCAGGGTACCCTCCGATAGTACCCTGGGGGACATAGACCCTATCAGCCATAGTAATGGATACATGCTAGCAATGAGACATATGATAATGTGGGTGCCTGCGCCTGGTGGCTTATCTGAAGATGCTTATGAATTTGCAATGAAAAATTACTATATTAGTGTAAATAAATTACAAGTAGAGTCGGATTAAACAACTATTTATTGGTCGGTGGGTGGGCAACCAAAAACTTTGGTGGGCAATCAGATTTTAGTACTAGGAGTCTACCCGAGCAACCAGACGGCAACCAGTTACTGTTACGTTGTCGTACGTACAGTACGACGTACGTGCTGTTACGTTGACGTTTAACTTAAAAACAATCAGCCAATCAAATGCACTCCTCATATCATGTGATCAGTGCCAGTTGCATCCATAGAAATCTATAAATAACTATGGTTGCATCGACATATTAAAGCGCTCGTTGCCCAGTGGCTCACAGTGGCTTACAGTTGCCCAGACGCTAGTTGCGGCGAGTAGTAGCGCGCGCGTGGGTCTTCAGTTGCTTTAAGTTGCGTTGAATCGCGGTGAATCGCCGGCGACGTAAGCCCCGCTTAGAGACGTACATGGGGGAAAAGAATGTGAGTAAATAAAAATAATTTTTTTCAGAAAATCGAAATGAAATCATTTGAGTCGGGCCGATTTTGGTGGGTCGGTCGGGTAAGGGCAAACAAACAATATTTTAATTTAGGCCCGAGGCTCCGACACGGTTGACCTCTCCCATCTTCTAAGTTCTATCATAGTACCATACTATCTGTCCACCACTCCCCTTCTTACTCGTCTCTCTCTACAGTCTACATGTACACATGCTTAACTAGTCACTACTTCTAGATTGCTTATTGTTTTGTTACTCTGTAATAAACATACAGAATGAACCACGTTATCCTTTCGTTTGGATGCAAATAAATGTTTTTTTATATAAAAATATGCGTATCCGCGTCTCCCCGCGCGCACGTTACGGGTCAAATGTTGAAACGTTTGCCGCCTCGCGGTCGATAACGTAAGAGCTTTGAATATATATATAGAGAGGTTGGTAGAAAGAAGAAAAACGCCAACTTGACTGCATATAGTCGTCAGTGTAAACCCAGCTTCAGCCGCTGCTGCATGCACAGTGTATATGTAGCGCTCGCTATACGTACGTACTTGTGTACATTTTAATTTATCAGGCCACGGGAGCGATTTTCTCTCTCGGGCGATCGCTCCCGTTATTGTTCTTACCAGAGCGATTTTAGAGCTAACCAGAGCGAAATCGCTCGTCGCTCCCGTGTATTTTTTCCCCTGGCGGGAGGAGGTGACGGGAGCACGGGAGGAGGTGCCGGGAGCGTGGGAGGAGGTGATGGGAGCGTGGGAGGCGGCGACGGGAGCGCGGGAGGTGCCGCCGGGAGCGTGGGAGGAGGTGATGGGAGCGTGGGAGGCGGCGACGGGAGCGCGGGAGGTGCCGCCGGGAGCGTGGGAGGAGGTGATGGGAGCGTGGGAGGCGGCGACGGGAGCGCGGGAGGTGCCGCCGGGAGCGTGGGAGGAGGTGAT